ACCAAAAACATAATTTGCCTTACCTTGGTACTGCATAGCTTTAAGATACTCGAGAAAAAATTGTTGCATCTTTTAGAAGAGTCTTTCTTGTTTTAACTTATTATAAATAACACGCATTACGATCAAAAAAAGTTAATATCACGAATTAACATCCAACTAGAAGCAATCACATGATTTTTATTTGCAATATAAAAACTTACATGAGACAGGGCTATATATAAGCTCTATTAATACATTCCAACCCCCAAAATTCTGTTCCTAAAAGTCCCTAAAACCTCAACCCTCGAACACAACAAATTCAAGAAGACTATTCTAAAAAAAAAAAAAAAAAAAAAAAAAAGACAAAATTCAAAAAAACTGGCTAAAAAAAAAAAAAAAACAAGTTAAAAAAAACCAGCTTAAGAAAAAAGAGAAAAAAAAAAAAGACTTAAAAAAAAAAAATATATAGTTTTTCTAAGATTTAGGTGACATGGTATCACCTTTTTTTTCATTATTTTTTTTGATATGCTGGATCCTTTTCATGGTACAATGCATAGAACTACCTTTGAATATTTCAACAATAATAGTCTTATTATTGTTAAACCAACTATTGTTCTGGTTTCCATGAAGTTGGTTTGAAGCTTTCTTTTTCAGGTTATCAGGTTCATATTGATATCAAGGGCAATTGCAACTGACTGGCCAGATTTGTAGATATTTTTGTGACAGTGAATGCTTGAATTTTTTTGCAACTGTTTCTTGTTTTTTCAAGTTGTTTGTTGACTTTATTGTAAATTATTAAAACCTTCTCTAGATAGTCTTTTACAATTTCAGGTGTTGTTAGTGTTTCTTATACTTCTATTTCCTGAAAGCCATTAGTATTAGTGGGATTGAATTGCTAATATATGCTGAGGAGTTTGTAGTCAAACATTACTTTATAAGGGTTTTCTATAAGCACTATATTGGGTGGTATTATAGGAAAAAACAAAATTTAATAAATAGTCTTTTCAATTAACGTTTTGTAGTTGCATTTCTTAATTTTATAGCATTTTTGTAAATCCACATCCAACTGTCTAGTTTAAATATTCAACTTGCTCTTGAGACATAGGATGCTTTAGACGTCTATATCGAATTGTTATCCCAAGTGCTTCACAAATATATTTAGTAACGGTGGTGGTAAACTCTTTACTATTGTCAAATCGCAAGATTGATAATGCTTTCTATTGTGAAAATAAAAAAATCAAAGCTTTGCCGATAATATTGGCTTCTTTTAATTTAATTGGAATGGCTTACAAAAATTTTGAAAAGATACAAATCATGGTAAGAAGTCAAGAAAATCTATTGTTCATATCTTTGTATATCATGAAATTCACAAGATCTATTTGAAGATGTTTTATTGGACCGTAACTTACAACTGGTGTTAGGTTATCTTTTTCTTTAATTGAGGTAGTTTGATTACAGGTATTACAGTTTCAAACATACTCACAAACTTCTTTTTTTGTGATACCAATATGGTGTACTATAATTTTTTTATAATAATCATTTACATTAATATAATGATCATTGTCATGAAACTGTTTAAACAAAGATTGATGAAACTCCAAATTCTACACAGAGATGAAACAACGAAGTGGTTGATTCTTAATTTGAGCATAAAGATAGCTATTTTTTAGACACCACAGTTTCATTTTGCATTTAAAGTTCTATTAGTTTTTTAGTGTT